CTGCCCACACCTTGGTCTGGACTTCCAGCTGATTCTTGGATGAGCTGGTCCTCAGGTGCGGAGGCAGGACTGTGAGAAAGCGAATTTCTGTTTTTAATTCACCTGGTCTGTGGTATTTTGCTGTGGGAGTCCCAGTAGACTAATACATGGGGTTTGAGAGAAGAGGCGAGGATGATGCCCAGGAGCTGGATCTGTTTGAAGTCATGGTTGGGAAAGTTCAAGAGCTGGACATTTCCTTCACGACGTCCAGAAGCACCAAGACAGATTGTCCCGCTGGGTTTTACTCAGAAGAGTCTTCCAGTCCACTACACACCGCTGGCAGAGCCAGAACACAGTGCGACAAGAGTGAGACACAGACGTGCAGTCACAAAAGGAGAATCAGCTCCACGCCCAGCGTGATTGCCTTTTGGTGCCCATACCATAATGAGCTCCGGGCCCGCTGTTCCTTCCTCCCCTTCCTGAATCCCTTTTGTTCTGATCTAACCTGCACTCCCCCAGGCCAATGGATTTCAGTACATCTGGGGAAGGGAGTTGCTAGGATTTCTAGCAATCTAGAAACAAAACAGTGCTCTGGGACTCTGTACCTCTCAGTGAAACTGCCAGGGCTCTGCCCTCCAGGCCTGTCCTTATTCATGGGGACCCCAGAGGGACTCACATGAACTTCTGGCCCATTCACCTGCTGCTCACCCTGCCAGCCCCTGGCCTGGCTGTAGCCACAGTTCCCACCATCACCTATATCTGGAAACTCTAATTCCTTGCCCACGACACTCTCATGGTCATCCTGTGGAAGTGAGGAGGCTTGCCCCGCCTCCAGACATCCAACTGGGTTGCTTCCTACTCTTTCCAGTTCTCTCATATTTCTGACTCCTTATTAGAAAGGCGTCTTCCATGCCCAGAGCCTCTGCTGGAAGGCAGTTTGAGTCTCACTGGCTGAGCTGCAGTCAGAGTCTGCCCTGGCCCTGCCATGCATCTGTGCACGTCAAGCCCTTTTCCCTGCAGGCTTTGCCCCTTCTTCATCTAGAACACTGTCCCCTATTGCAATTTTCATGAGCAAAGTGGATTTATGAATCTGTTTATCTATATCAGGGGTCAACAAACTATGCCCTGCCACCTATTTTCATAAATAAAGTTTTATTGGAACACAGTCACACATTCATTTTGCCATAAGCTGCTTTCATAGTACAATGGCAGAGAAGAGTAGTTGGTACAGAGACCATATGGCCTGCCAAGATGAAAATATTTACTATCTAGCTCTTTGCAAAGAGTTTGCCAATCTCTGTGACAGAGTTAGATTGGGTAACTCTCACAAAGTGGATAAGAGGATTAAAAAGACTACTGCAGAAATCAGGAAGCAAATAAATAAATCCACGGTGAACTGACAATAATATTAACATCACAATAAAAAAGGGCAACACGAAAATAGTAGGACTGATATTCTCCCACCCACAGTACAAGCTGCTTGTCACATAAAACAATGATCCTCTAACCAGGCCTATCAGGAAGTTGGCAGAGAGACTGGGTGAGTGAGAGAGACAGAGATGGAAGAGGGAGAGGAAGAGGGGAGGAAAAATAAATAAATAAATACATAAATAGTGGCATTCAGCTACAGATGACACGCTTAGCATGTCATTTTCCCCTTTAATGATCATTTATCTAGCCATTTTATGGTCAAGCACTATTTTTAGGGTTCTACATGCATTAACTGATTCAGTCCTCAAAACAACCCCAAGAGGTAGGCACTATTTATAATTGTCCCCATTTTATAGATGAAGAAGCTGAGCTCGAATAATCTGGCAAAGCTTACATATGTAGTAAGTGGTGGGGCCGGACTTGAATCCAAGCAGTTCGACTCCAGGGTCTGTGCTCTTAAACTCTACATTATGCTGTTTTTGACCAAGAAAACAAAGTGGCTGGGCACAGTGACTCACACCTGTAATCCCAGCACTTTCAGAGGCTGAGGCAGGTGAACCACGAGGTCAGGAGTTCAAGATCAGCCTGGCCAAGATGGTGAAAATCCGTCTCTACTAAAAATGCAAAAAAAAAAAAAAAAAAGCTGGGCATGATGGCAGGTGCCTGTAATCCCAGCTACTTGGGAAGCTGAGGCAGAGAATTGCTTGAACCCAGGATGTGGAGGTTGCAGTGAGCCAAGATCGCGCCACTGCACTCCAGCCTGGGCGACAGAGCAAGACTCCTTCTCAAAAAGAAAAAAAAAAAGAAGAAAGAAAGAAAGAAAGAAAGAAAGAAAGAAAGAAAGAGAGAGAAAGAAAGAAAACAAAGACAGAAGTAAACCCCAAAATGTTTGGAGAGTGGTGCCATGGGCAGCCCTTTCAGCATGACTTTGCGTCCTAACTACCAACGCTTATCCTAAACTCTGGTGCAAGGTGAAGGAATTCACATAGCTCTCTTTTAAAGCAACTTTGAGAGTTTTTTTTTTTTTTCAAGACATATATCCAGGATAAATCCAGCAAACTTAGAAAGCAGTGAAATAGGCCCTTGGGAATGGCGTCCCATTGAGGTGTCTCCTGTCGTTTCAGTGAGTTGTGAAGCACTGGTTAGCAGGCGTCATGGCTCTGAGTACCTAGGACAGCACTCCTCTGCAAAGAGCCCAGGCTCCTGGAGAGGTTGAGGGTCTCTGGCATGGTTCTCGGTGGACAGTCAGCATCCTTTACCCACCCTCCTGTGGGGCAGATCGAGGTCCCACCTGCCCTTGGCTGAAAGGAAGCGCATTCCCAAACCTCCTAAAGGCGCACTCGACCTTGATTTCCTCTGAACTTCCTCACCAGCTGCACTGGTGTTGTGTAGGGAGCACTGTATTGAGACTCAGGGCAATGGGTTATGTCCTTGTGAAGGCTTCTGACTTCTCTAGTCCTCAGTTTCTTTATCTGTAACATGAGTGACCTCAGCTAGATGGTCCTTGAAGAGCTCTTTACAGGTTAGAAATGCTCTGATCCTGTATTTAATGAAATGGAGAAAGTATTCATGCCATATTCATTTGTGGGAAAAACATTCTTTGCAAAACATGACGTTTGACTCTTGTAATTTTTGTTTTAAAAAACACATGTAGCAGAATGAAGGTATTTGTTCTTCCCATCCCCACGCTGCTGCTGGGCAGAGAATCTTTTAACCATAGAATTCACTAGGATTCTTTGTCAGACAGGACTCTATTCTAAAGAACGGGAGCACTGCCGTCATCCTCCTGGAATGGAGTCAGGGATGCCCCCCAGGACACTGGACCCCAATGGGCAAAGGTTCTCAGCAACTTCAACCTAAAAGAGGTCCCTGAGGGGAGAAGAGACCTGAAAGGAGGGGAGTGGGATAGGAAGGGAGGGGACACCATTCAAGGTAGGCCCTGTGTCAACTACAATTCAACCCTATGAGTGCTGTAAGGAATCAAAGACATATAAGGTAAAGATCCTCTACACACAAGGAAGTCACCACCCAGCTGGCATCAAAAGCCACATTGATGAAAGACGATGAGAAGGAAGAGATGCATTGTTAACGGGGCGGGGAGCACAGTGGATTGGGGCAGGGGGCCTGGATCCTGTCTCTGGCCGATCACTGCTGGAGGGAAGCCACTCTGCATCCCTGGGCCTCAGTTTCCTCATATGGAAGTGAGGCATTAAACTCAATTTCAAAAGTACCTTCCACCTCTGAGATACCAAAGTGGATGGTTTGTTGAAGGAGGACTGAGCGTGGGCACCCGGAACTGTGTCATTTGATGAATGAGTCAGACTAGGGACGTCAGAAAAATAATGTCTTCACAATCAACACAAGGGGACAGGCAATTAAGAAACACTTTGCCGTTGGCTGGAGTGTCTGTTCCACTCAAAGGATACATTCCCGAAGAGAGATGGGGTGACTCATCAGGCGGCTGTAACCTGATGAAACAGAGCTATCCAATTTCCTCACTTCGATTCCAGGCAACCAAATTATCTCAATATGGTTTTCCAAAGCAGATTCTCCAGGCAATAGTAAGGGCAGACATGAGTTTACAGAGTAAGGAGCAATTGAAAATTGACATTTTTCTGAAGGAGTAAAATTATATCACATACGAGAAATGACTGAAATTTTATATGAAGTAGCATTCAAATGCAAAGGGTATCATCATTAGTAGTATCACCATTGGTTATTATTCTCATGCTGATTTGGTCAGCCTTTGAGCCAGTTTTTCTTTTTCTTTTTTTTTTTTTGAGCTGGTAAATCCTGTGTGACTTGGTAAACATAGAAATTCTGGATCTGCAAAGCTGATCAAATATGAAAATTACTGATATTTAGAAAGTGCTTTCACATACAGATACCTCAGTAGCTCTAGAGAGAGGAAATATTATTTTCCCCAGTCTGGAAGTTCTGGAAGGCTCAGAGAAGTTCGGTGACTTATCCAGAATAACAGAGCTCGTCAGGGTTTGGGCTGGCAGTCGAACCCAGGGGGTCAAGTCCAAATCCAACTCACAGTGTTGCTGCTTCTTAAGTGGGTGAATATCCACCCATCCAGCACACCCCCTCACACATATACTCACAAACATTTACTATGCAAGATCCGTGCCCAGAGGGACAGCTGCAGGAGGGATCAGAAGCTGAGGCAGAGAAAAACCAAAATGCCAATATATTCTGGAGATCATAGAACCGTGTCTCTTTCTCTCTTCAAACGCTGCTAAAAGCGCATAGAGTCTTTCTGGACAGCCGTCCCATGGCTCAATCCGTTAGGCTTCCCTTAGTCCCCAGACCCAGGCTGAATCTGCTCATGGTGGGTATAGAAAGCTCCCATTCTGCTTAGATGGAGTCTCTGGGGTGTCAGGCATACCCCTGCTGCCTGCGTCTACCTCCTCTTCTGTCTGGTTGTTTCTGCTGAGAGTGGCTAGGGACCCTAGATGGCCCCCCAGAACAGCACTGTTGGACCTAACGCACCCTGGGTTTCCGGCATCTCAGCCACTGGAGTTGCCAGTCTCAAATTACTGGAGGGGAGGGAGGGCAGGCCTGGATCTCAGGATCTAGGTCCTGCGTGCAATGCAAGCCTGAGCTCTCCAGCTGCTGCCATAAGGCTGCGGCAGTGTGGGCTCCTTGTGCCCAGATCCTTCGTATTCACAGGGAGAAGCGGAAGACCACGCTGCCTGACCGAGACTTTATTATAGAGGCTCAGGAAAAAGATGAACTGGTCCCATTCCTGCATCTCCTTTTGCTGGATTTACTTTGCTGCTTCCAGACTGAGAGGTGAGCGGCTGGTGACATGGAACCATCTTGTCTCATCTGGGGCTATTGCTTTGGTGGGAGGTGGGGCAGGGCGGGGAGGACAAAACAGATGATTCCACTGCGTGGAATGGCTCTGTGCTTCCTACTGCCTCTGACCTTGGTAGCGCATGCCAGAAAAACAACTCATCCATCCACCCAAAGCTGTCCCTCGCCAGTGCTGGGCCATCCCCCATTTTAGACCTCAGTCTTGTGTTCTTTGTCTTGAAATACATACAACACTCTGAAGGTTGATCCAGATCCCTCTTGTTGAGTAGCTGTGGAGACGGCAGATGGAAAATATGCTCAGAAGTTGTTTAATGACCTTTTTGAAGATTATTCCAATGCTCTTCGTCCGGTGGAAGATACAGATACAGTCCTGAATGTCACACTGCAGATCACGCTCTCTCAGATTAAGGATATGGTGAGTGATACATGGTGCTGACTCTGTGGAATGATTCTCAGAGGATAAACAACCACGCTTTCTGAAGAGAATGTCTTAACTGGGAATCTGAGGGAATGACAGCCCGTATGCAAGCTGGTGGGAGAAGAGAACGCCGGGAAAAGGAAGCTTTCTACAAAACTAGTTAATTTCACAAAATGTTACCTAATCCTGGTCATTAACCTTAACAGTCTTAGAAAATCTAAGGAATGGTGGGGGTACATACTGTATGCTGCCATTTATATAAAATGTCCAAAATAGGTAAATCCGTAGATACAGAAAACAGCACAGAGGTTGCCAGGGTCTGCGGGGAGGAAGGGGAAAATGGCCAGTGAGTTCTTAATGATTATGGGGTTTCTTTGCGGGGGGAAGAAATGCTCTTGAGTTAGGCAGTGGTGATGGTTGCACAACATTGTGAATATATTGGAAACCAGTGCATTGTTCCCTTCTAAAATGATTAAAATGGTGAGTTTTAATGTGAATTTAATCTCAATCCTTTTTTTTGGTGGGGGGTGGGGGATAGGGGGGACAGAGTCTCACTCTGTTGCCCAGGCTGGAGTGCAGTGGTGTGATCTTGGCTTACTGCAAGCTCTGCCTCCCGGGTTCACGCCATTCTCCTGCCTCAGCCTCCTGAGTAGCTGGGACTATAGGTGCCCGCCACCACGCCTGGCTAATTTTTTTTGTATTTTTAGTAGAGACAGGGTTTCACCGTGTTAGCCAGGATAGTCTTGATCTCCTGACTTCGTGATCTGCCCGCCTCGGCCTCCCAAAGTGCTGGGATTACAGGCATGAGCCACCACGCCTGGCCAATCTCAGTTTTTTTTAAAAAAGATAGTGTTTTAAGATGGCATAGCTTATTAGTGCTTATCTATATTTAATCACACAATGTTATGAAACTTGAAAGATTTTCCTTCTGCACGTTGTTATTTCCTGACTTTTGCTTTCAAGTACATCATTCATTGATCAATTTTCAGGAAATATGGGCAGTTGATCCATGCAAAGCTATCAAGACTGAAATATTTGTCCACTTTACATTCTGAACACTAAATCTAGGAGGAAAAGAATGATCTTGGTAGTCAATCAAGGGTATAGAATAAATAAAGAATGAAGCTCTCACTTACTTATTGAAAATAGATGAGTGTTTGTGAAATTCCTATTGTGAAGAACAAGTGTCCTATCAATGGAAGACATTTCAAGTGTCTGCTAGGTAAAGTTACATCTGCATTCATTGTGCAGGATGAAAGAAACCAAATTCTGACCGCCTATTTGTGGATCCGCCAAATCTGGCACGATGCCTATCTCACATGGGACCGAGATCAGTACGATGGCCTAGACTCCATCAGGATCCCCAGTGACCTCGTGTGGAGGCCGGACATCGTCTTATATAACAAGTAAGTGCAGCTCAGAACTGAGGCTTTTCAGGCACGAATGTGTTGATTTCATAGAATTTAAACATAATGAAAAAGGAATGTTTAAAACATGCATGAAATTAAATATTAATCCATGTTCCTAGGACTCCTGAAATAACGGTCATAGAATCTTAGATCAGGAAATAATATGTCATAAAAGCTTAGAGCTGGAAGGAAACCATCAATCTACATGCCCCTTTTTCAGGTGGGAAAGTGGAGGCTGCGTTAGTTTGCTAGGACTAACTTTGCCGTAACAGAGTAGCACAAATTAGGTGACTTAACACAAACGTGTTGTCTCACAGTTCTGGAGTTGAGACGTCTGAGATGCAGGTGTTGACAGCGTGGTTTCCACTGAGGGCTGTGAGGGAGGATCTGTTCCAGGCCTCTCTTCTAGCTAATGGTGGTTTGCTGGCAGTCTTTGGTGTTCCTAGCATTGTAGAGCGTCACTCTGAGCTCTGCCTTCATCTTCATATGTCGTTCTCCTGTGTGTTCCGTGTCCAAATTTCCCTTTTATATAAGAACACCAGTCATATTGGGTTAGATGCCCACCCTACTCCAGCGTGACTTCATCTTAACCTAACTAATTACATCTTCCATCATGCTATTCTCAAATCAAGTCACATTCTGAGTGTTGGGGGCTAAGACTTCAATATGTGAATTTTTCAGGGACACAATTCAACCCTTAACAGTGACATTCACCATCCAAGATCATGTATCAACAATTAATTAAACTGGAATGGGCCATCTAGAAACTGACCTGTGGATTTGGGGTTTTGCGTGGAGTGGAGGATGAACCAGTTTACAGGATACAAAGTGACTTTTTCCCAGTCTCAGAGCAAGGGGCCTTGTACAATGGGTAGGTAAGATTTATGTTTCGCAGGCTGGAAGGTGCATATGAATCGCCCAGGGAGTTTGTTAAAATACGGATTGTGATTCCACGGGTATGGGGCAGGCCTGTGATTCTGCATTTCTACAAGCTCCGGAAGACGTAGGTACTGTGGGTCCATGGGCAGCATTTTGAGAAAAATACCAGATCTCTGGTCACCATTCAAGCTCAGTGGCCCCACCTGTTGTCGAAGGAGCTTCTCTCTCTTTTTGTTCTAGACCCGTTTCTGTGGAGTGGGAAGGTTCCTCTGTGGCTCAGAAGGATGTGAATGAGGGGCAGCTCAGGGGGCTCCCCTGGGTAGAGGCTTCCAGTGGGCATGGATTTCCTTTAAGGAAGCAACACGGGTGGGTTGCAGCCTGGATTTTAGTCTCACTCCTTACTCAGAGAGCTCATCTAAGGGTCATGACCTCTGGAATCATAGCCCTGTTCTTTCTGTTCATTCCCCACTCTGAGTGGTCTGTATCCCTTCCCAAGGAAGATAACAGGAAGATAACATTCAAGTACTGAGCTTTATTCCTTCAGTTTACACTCCCTGCCTGTGTTCACTCTCTCTGTCTCTCTCTCTCTCTCTCTATCTCTCTCTCTCTCTCTCTCTCACACACACACACACACAGAGAGAGCAAGAACACAAGCCACAATGTCCATTACCACTCTCTAGTCCGCAGAGTGCAGGAGAGTAATTTCATTGATACAGGCAGGGTGTGGGGGCTCACCCCTGTAATCCCAGAACTTTGGGAGGCCAAGGCAGGTGGATCACCTGAGGTCAGTAGTTCAAGACCAGCCTAGCTAACATGGTGAAATCCCGTCTCTACTAAAAATTAAAAAATCAGCTGGGTGTGGTGGCAGGTGCCTGTAATCCCAGCTACTTGGGAGGCTGAGGAAGGAAAATCACTTAAACCTGGGAGGCAGGGGTTACAGTGAACCAAGATTGCACCACTGCACTCCAACCTGGGTGACAAGAGTGAGACTCCATCTCAAAAAAAAAAAAAAGAAAAAGAAAAAGAAAGATAATTTCATTGACACAGATGATCTCTTACAGCATTCTGTAAATTCTTTTTTTTTTTTTTTTAAGACGAGCTCTCACTCCTATCACCCACATTGGAGTGCAGTGGTGTAATCATGGCTCACTACAGCCTCAACTTCCCAGGATCAGGTTATTCTCCCACCTCAGCCTCCTGAGTAGCTGGGACTACAGGTGCATGCCACCATGCCCAGCTATTTTTTATTTTTTATTAGTAGAGACAGAGTCTCACCATGTTGCCCAGGCTGGTTCTGAACTCCTGAGCTCAAGCGATCCATCCAGCTTGGCCTCCCAAAGTGCTGGGGTTACAGGCACGAGCTGCTGTGCCGGCAAGCATTCTGTAAGTTCTAAAAATTCTCTCCAGAAATCAAACAGAATGGTGGTTCTCCTCTCCTTCCTGTTTTGATTGGCTGAGGCGGTGACCATGTCTTACTGAAATGCTTCTTTGCAAGCTTACAAGGCACCCTAAGTTAAGCTGACTCCACTGCTCCCTTATTAGAGAAGCCAGTTATGTACTTGTGAGCTCAAACAAGCCTACTGTGGCTTTGGTCGGTACTGTCCTCATTCTCCCTTCCCCACTCCCCACTCCTTTACACAGAGCCTTTCACCACACTGATTCATCATCTCTTTTTTGTTCCTCTGGTTGACTCTTTAGTCATCTCTGTGCTCTTGTCATGGACAATTCTGTTTCTGCTCCTCTCTTCTCCTTTGCCTTCTCCTTCTCAGTAAAACTTCTCAGAGTTTTGCTGTGTAGAGGAACCTCTAAAAGGAGCTATGGTTGGATGACATCTTCATGCCTTTAACAAATCGAAATGAAAATGGAAGAGTGTTACAGGATCCGGCAAAGAAGGGCCCTTAGTCATGGCTATTTCCCTGAGCTCAGTCCTTCTAGCTGAATCTCTGACTCTGTAGAATCTACTGATGCCAGATACAATATCACTGCTTCTCAGAAGCAGGTAGAGAATGTCATAGGCAACACAACGGGCTTCCTGAGTTGTGGCAAGAAGGAGAAATAGGGGTAGGGAGTAAGTGAATCAGTCCAGTGTAGTAAAGACACCCAGGCAGGAAGATGCTTTGCATCTAGAGTCACTGTTCGTGCCCAAATCCATGGGGCTAGACTGGTAGGGAGTGATCAGGAAGGAGATGGGCCTGGATGCCACTTCACAGAAGAACAGTTGAATTTGCTGATGCTTAGTTTGGAAGAGAGAAACCTTGAAGACTTGATGATGGTTACCTTAGGCAATCAGAGAGAAAGTAGGGTGGAAAAAAGAGAACAATGTTCCAGAAGACAAAACCCAAGATAATCGGTAGAAACCAAAGGGAAGATAAGCTCTCAAAAAAAAAAAAAATTCCCTAATAACTTCGGCAATGAATTGTCCCAAGAAATAGTGAGCTTTTTAGCAATGTAACAGTTCATGTAGATACTGGCTCTTTCAGTAAATCGATAGAGAAATTAATGAATTGGGGCTCAAAGTTCTGGTGGGAATGTTTACTATTAGTATATGGTTAGTATAGTGGTTAATATAAGGCCACTGACATTTTTAGATTAGGTAAAATCAGATTACAGAAATTTTAAATTTGAATTCATTATGGCAGGGTTTTCATGGTCAGGTTTTTTTTTTGGTGGGGGGGCTGGTGGTTTGCTCTGTCACCTAGGCTACAGTGCAGTGGTGTGATCGTAGCTTACTGCAGCTTTGACCTCCTGGGCTCAAGTTGTGACAGTATTCTCCTCAATAGGGTCTGTAGACAGGGAGCCTTCACTTCAGCTTCCAATTGGTCACAGACCAAGTCTTCATTGCATGAGTTATAACTTCACTTCAGCCTCTGATTGGTTGTAGATCATATCTTCATTTGCATAGGGTGTAACTTCACTTCAGCCTCCAATTGGTTATGGGCCAAGTTTTTATTTACATAGGGTGCAACCAATGGGAAACCTCTAGAGGGTACTTAAAACCCAGAAGATTTTGTAACCTGTGATCTTGAGCTGCTTACTTGAGCCCACACCCACTCTGTGGAGTGTAGTTTCATTTCAATAATTCTCTGAGTGTTTATTGTTTCTTTCATTGTTCTGTATTTTCATTGCTTTATTTGTGCATTTTGTCCAATTCTTTGTTCAAAATATCAAGAACATGGATGACCTGTAGTTGAGACCCTCCATGGGTAACAAAGTGATCCTCTCACTTCAGTCTCCTGAGTAGCTGGGACTACAGGTATGCACTACAACACCCAGCTAATTTTTACAAAAATTTTTATAGAGATGAGGTCTCACTATATTGTCTGTTGTCCAGGCTGGTTTTAAATTCCTGGGCTCAAGCAATCCTCCTGCCTTGGCCTTCTAAAGTGCTGGGATTACAGGCATGAGCCACCATGCCTGGCCCCAGTGGTTGGATTTTAATGAGCAGTTTTAATGGTTGGATTTTAGACCTGGTGAGGAACTGGGTGCCCTATTGTATTCAAAAGAATTTGTCTAGAATTTAGCTTTAAGGCCAGCTTATGTAGCTATCCTTAGCCATATAAGATGATTTAGAGAATGGCAAGACTTCCAAATGAGACTGGAAATAAAGGAGGGGGAGGAAAAACAGGTTTGGAAAAAAAGAGGATGAATTTGATGTTCAGTTTGGGGAACCAAAGAAACATCCCTAAGGAAGTGTCCAATAATGAGATTGCAGAGGCAAATCTGAAACCTGGAGAAATGGTCAGGGCTAATGGAGATGCCAAAAGCCCCTAAAGTCCTATAGAACTACTCATGGAAGGAAAGAAAATGGCTGACGATAAAGTTGAAAAAACCTCTACATTTAAGGAATTTACAGAGGAAACTTAGAGTTAGTGGTTAAAGAGGTAGAAGGAGAACTGAGAGAGTCATGTCATGAAAACCAAGGGAAGAGAGGATGTCTAGGAACAACCCATAATCCCAATATTTGGGAAGAGTTAAAGAAGATGAAGACTTAGGAGAAGTCTTGAGATTTGCCTAGTTGTACTTGTCGGAAAGACATCAAAATGCGGGAGTCAAGAAATAAAAGGAAGAGGAAACGGGACAACAGCAGGTATCAGTTACTTTTGAAAGCAGTGCGTGGA